TCATTTACTCTCGCCCGACGGCGACCTTTATGGGGTTAACTTTTGTTTACCCGACGAAATAGTGTATCCGTGGTGTAAGTTCTCACCTGACATTTTTGCCCGATGAAGCTCCATCAGTTAAAGTTTCTGGTGATGAATGATGCTTTTACCTAACAAAGTTGTTTCGTCTGGCAAAATTTTTTATTTTTTATTTTTTTGAAGTGGCTGCTTCATTAGCTAAGGTGTTGTTGTTTCTATCTCTTCCAAATCAAGATTTCAGCTAAAATTGGAATTTTGGTTTTTTTATTTTAGATTCATTATGTTGGTTATCTGCATTTTACAATATTGTTTTATGTTGTGATGAAGGTCGATGCTTTGAATGTTTAGTTTCTATCAAATTGATTTACTTGATTATTGATGAATTGTATCTGAAGGCCGATGTCATTATTCATGTTTTCTTGATGAATTACTGTGGATAATCTTTTTTTCATCAAGATCTGGAAGTGTTGATTGTTGAATTCTGTTTCTTAGAAAGTTTCTGAAATTTCCTCATTTGCTTTATTTTTCTATGCATCTGAAATTCTAGTGTCTACTTTGATTGGAATTTTTTCCACATAACCACTACTAAATGTTTTTGTCAACAAAGAGATATTGACCACAACAACAATCTTAGATTGAAACATTAATCATTGATTTGAAAACTTTGATTGAATGAAAAACTATTAAATTTCAGTATGGAAGCTCGATGTTTGCTGTAGGTGACTCATCTTGTGATATCCCGTCGTGAAATTTATTATTTATTTATTCTATTTTTATATTCAAGGTGTTTTTTCAATTTTATTTATTATTTTACAGCTCTAAGAAAACGAAGTTAAGGTGCATGACCACTTTAGTGGTATAGGTTTTGGAGCCCTACTTTGTGTATGCTTTTTATTTGGTTCCATGAGAGGCTATGGAATGCGAACCTTTAAACTATATAGCTACATATGCCCTATGATTTTATTAAATCCATGAGAGGATAAGAAAGAGATGATTAAATGCATGTGTGGATCAATCATGAAAGTCGGTTGAATTCTTGTGTGGATCCAATCAAGATTTATGAGTGGGGATTATTTTATATATGCAAAGGATTTTATGAAATGATGTTTTAAACTGGGATCAATGGACATTTTTAATTTATGTCGTAATATTGTCACTCACACAAGTTTTGCAACTTATCTAGGTTTTTTCTTTTCTCGGTGCACCATTCCCATGGTTTAGGGCTATTTCTTGCAAAGTACAAGTAGATGTTAGTGAAAGGATTGTAAGTGGTGTAGTTATTGCAGGTAGTACACTCAAGATTAAGGTAGATCACTTTTACTATAATTTCATTTTCGCTGAATATGTGATGCATATTGTCGATGCAAATTTCCGCCGTCTTTAGTCTGGACGAAAATGCACCTGCAAAACAACCAACACCTTTGATCAAAGACCTAAGCCTCACGTGCCCACAAGGTTGGGGGGGTTAAGCTAATGGATCTTCGATGCCTAAGTTAGTTTCTCTGAAAAAGAGTAAGTGTTTAGCGCTTGTAGGGGTAGCAAAAGCTTACCGAAATTTGGTAGAGATGGAGGTATTTACAGGAAGAGGAGCCAGCCATGGTGTTAGGGTTTTACCCTACACATGGCAACATCCTCTAGGCCAAGGTTTATGGAAAAATATTCTCAAGATATTAAATAGGAAATAATATCTTGAGATACAGAGTAACTATCCCTAATTGATTTAAATAAGGATTACTTACTTGAATGGAGTCAATCTTCAATTAGGAATGTATTAAAGATAGGACTTGGATAATTAATCTTTACGGTAAATCTCAGTTTACTACCCTTAAGTTTCTTGGTTTTCAATATTTGATACATGAAGTTTTTTTCGTCCCAGAGTCATACCTAAAATGTTAATTTTGGGACAGTCTCATACATCCGTTAGTTTGGCTGTTAAATAAGCCATTAACTGATGAAGTGGCGCCCACGTGGACAATGACTGGGTGCCATGTGTCAATATGGGCCCACGTGAATATAAAAAAATTAAAAATTAAAAATTAAAAAAAAATTAAATTTAAAAAAAAACAATATTCTGGGCACCAACCCATTCCTCCTCCTTCCCAACCCCCTCCCTCCTTCTCTTCCCTACACCATCCTCCATATCTGTATCCCCATTCTTACACACTCCTTCAATTCCCTCCCCATCACCTCTCTCTACGGTAAAGCGTCGTCTTAGGGTGAAATTGAAGGCTTGTTCACCTTGGAAGCATCTTCCTCGTTGGTTTCCATGGCAGTAACTGAAATTGGAAATCAAAGATTGAAAACCCTAAAATCCAAAGAGCTAGGGTTGGGGTTTGAAGATTTCGATTTGTTTCAAGTCACTCGTCGACTTCCCTGTACCATCCTCCATGGCAGTAACTCGTCGGTTTGTTTCAACTCACGCGATCTGAGAAACAACGTCGTTGGAGTCAAGCAAGGGGACGAGTCGAGGAATGACACCAAGCATCATGAGCGTGGCTTTGGCTTCCAATTCTTCCTTGGTGTGCAATCTCACCTTGCTCGCCGCCTCCTTCCTCTTCGTCGTGTCATCTTCTGCCTGCAGGTCCAAAGCCGAGAATGGCCGGAGGAGGTGGTGGGGGGGGTCTAAGACAACGGATTCGACATCATTTCAGTGACACTTGGCCATTATTCTTCAATTCTTCTCCGCTTTTTCTCGAGTGGGGAGCACCTACATTACACCAAAAAACCAGAAAAATGCGAAAGAGAAAGAGAGAGAGAGAGATAGTGAGTGAGAGAGAGAGAGAGAAATGGGTAGGTATGCGGGGGATGGAATTGAAGGACGGTGTAAGAAGGGGGATACATAATTATGTTGTTTAATGGTCTGGATTTAGGGGTTTAGGGTTTCGGCAATGGCAGAAGGCGACCGGGAGGTGAAGAGGTAGGACGCCAAGAAATATATATATATATATATATATATATATATTATTTTTTTTATTTTTTAATTTTGTAATATTCACATGGGCCCCATATTGACACGTGGCCCTTAGTCATTATCCACGTGGGCACCATGTCATCAGTTAACAGCTGATTTAACAACCAAACTAATGGATGTATAAGACTATCCCAAAATTAACACTTTAGGTATGACTCTAGGACGAAAAAAACTTCATGTACCAAATGTTGAAAGCCACGAAACTTGAGAGTAGTAAACTGAGATTTACCCTAATCTTTATCTTTAATGCTTTGATCACTTTTCCTTGCCAAGGGTAGGTGAGCTGTGGGCAGTTGTATTCAGTTGCGGGGACCTTCAGCAATGTGAGCTGCGCATGGGAGTATTTGAGAAGCTTGCCCATTTAATGAGGACAATCTTGTCTTTCTTAGGCAAAAGTCCACGAGTCACCTTTAGAATATTTACGATTATTTTAGGCTCCACAAATGCGCCCACACCTACTAGGTTGCATGTAGAAAAAAGGCAGTAGATGTAGAAGTCCTAAGTTGCATGGGTGTGTAGAGTTGTTTCCCAATTTGATGTAGATCTCATTCTTTGACTTGGAGATAGATTGTTCTAGAAAAACGAAACCAATTACCCCGAATACCTATTTAATTCTACCTTAAGCAGAGGATTAAATAAATTTGGAAAACAATCTTTATTCCAACAAGGAAGAGAGAGAAACTAGAGGAAATTTATTCCTCTTCCCCTAACGCTTCTTCTTTTGCCCTTGCAAAGAGTCATTTCTCATTGTTGTTCTTCTTCCCTTGCAAAGTGAAAAGCTTATGCATTGCAGCAAAGACTATGAAAGTTAAGGGTAATGCTGACACACCCCAACCGAGATCAAGGCATGTCAGCCGTCACGTGAGGGTGACATAGCCATGTGCACAGGGCGGAAGCGATAAAGATAAGAGTTATACAAAAAAACAAAAACCGAAAGCTACTATTGTGCACTAATAAACAGGAAGTGTTAAGAGTGAGATACAAGTGTAAATACTCCTAATCAGAGCATAGAAAGTCTAGGTGCAGTCCAGTAGGACGAGTACTAATTATACAGTACCATAAGATGTCCTACAATTATTTATATATGTCAAAACTGCCGGAATCCTCGTACGCCACCAACAGCAGTATACCTAAAACCTGGAGGGGCGCAAAATAGAAAATGTGAGTGGGCAAAACAAATGTTTTACAAAACCATTTCATCATTAAAATGCTCTAACCCCTCGCCGTAAAACATGTATAGATTTTCCCAGAGTTAGAATATAACATATGCATCAATATATATAATTATCTCAATTCAAATCATGTTTCACATAACCATATTCATAAGTATGCCATGCCAAAACAAAAAAATAGAATAAGTAATTCAGGTGAGAATAAATTCAAGGAAAATAACATATTAGCCGGAACCCCTGCATATGTCTGTACAGCTCAATTCATAACTCAATAGTCAATGTAGCCGGAGTCACTACAATGACCTATACGGCACTACATTGTACACGAGTCGGAACCACTAAAAAGGTCTGTATGACAATATTGAGTGTAATACAATTATGTTCAATACCACACTCTCATGATAGCTGGGCGATCAATCGCAAGTCACCTACGAGTCGGAACCACCTATGATGGTCTGTACGAGAAGACTGTGCATCTAAATTGGATCCATTGTGAGCATATGGTGCGGGAGGTGATATTCATAACAGGCCTATGCCATATCTCTAGCTAAATCACAATCACCCTAAGTGCAGGTTTATGAGCTCATTGTTTCTCAATTAATCACAACTTTAATTCACATTCACAATTCATAACTCACCTGGACCTACCTGAGCGTCCACAGCACCACAATTATATAACATGCGTCATATACTATTTTATATACAAAATATAAATTTATATGCATGGCATTCAACGCATACTTTCATTTAAACACATTTTATGAGAAAATATCAAGTATAAGTATATACTGAAAACCAAAAGCCCACTCACTTGTATGTCGAAGGGTCGTAGCCCCTGAGTCACCCTTGACTGCGCTCGTCCTCGAGATAAGTCAACCCTATATGCGAAATAACTATGAAAACATCATTTTAAAAACATAGACAAAACTAGCTAATAACTTCTCATACAATGCTCAAATGGGGTGTTTGAATATACCAACGTGATCTACACAACTCCACGAACATCCCCATATTTTTATAAAAATTTTCCGACTACCCACACGCCACCCACGCGCGGGCATGCGCCAAGCACACTGACGGTAACAGTGACGCCGTTAGGAATATTCCGTTAAAAAGTAACAGAATCCGTTAGTTTTACCTGATGACATCAGAATATTCCGTCAACTTTGACGAAATATTCTATCTTCTTCTCCGGTTAGCCTTATCGGTCGCCGTCGCCGTCGTCGTTCACCGGAAACTGGAAAAATCACGGAAACCTTCATATCTTGTCCAAATCTTAACCAAATTCCACGAAACTTGAACCATTTTGAAGCTTAGGACAAGTAGAACAAAACCTTACCTTTCAAAGGTCCTAAAACCGATGGAACTTGCCGGAAATTCCTTCGATATTCCAGCTAAACCTGCAACTCGTCATATCTCAACTTTCCGACGTCCAAATCACTTCATTTTTATTCTTCCAGCTTCGTGAAGACAATTTAAAGCTTCATATGCCTTTAAAAAATCCTAAAACCTCACATTAATTAGTGCATGAACAATGCATGAAATCTGGGGTTCGAGTTCTCAGGATTTTTGAAGGTTTTAAGGTCTAAAAATTATATAAATCAACTCCGAGACTTGCAAGGAATTTGAATCTTACATTCTTGACATCGATCCATGCTTGAAATGGAAGCTTGGAGTTTGTCCGTACGTTTGTACCAGTTTTCTGCAAAAAATCCGAGAGGAATAAGAGAGAAAGAAGGCACGGGAAAGAGGGAGAGGTCTTTTGGGTGTGTGTGTGCGGTCCTCACACTAACACGTCATAAAACAACACTCACCATAAAAATTTAGGTCTAAACTTGACCAAAATAAACTAGGGCAATAAAAATAAATCCAAATTTTTTTCCCAATTCCAATAATTCAATCTATCCCTCAGGGGTAATTCTATCAATTCACCTCATCGAGAATATAATACAATAAGTTCGGGGACGGGTTGTGACAATCTAACCCACCTTATGAAATTTCATCCTCGAAATTATACACAACAAATACATCCACTAATAATCATAAAACAAGCGTGGATACATCTCTCTCATCCAATCCTCTATCTCCCAAGTAGTTTCTTCCACTGAATTATTTCTCCACAACACTTTTACCAAATGCACTGTCTTATTCCTCAACTCCTTATCTTTCCAATCCAAAATAGTCACTGGTTCTTCATCATAACTCAAATGTGGATTAATTTCCAAAGGTTGAGGAGGAATCACTTGAGAAGGGTCTGCAACATAATGACGAAGCATCGAAATGTGAAACACATCATGTACTTTGGACAACTCTGGAGGCAACTCAAGCCTATATGCAACCTCACCGACTCGCTCGGTGATCATATACGACACAATGTACCTAGGACTCAACTTGCCTTTCTTTCCAAACCGCACAACACCTTTCCAAGGTGATAGCTTAAGAAATACCCAATCACATACATTATACTTCCGATCAATGGCATGCTTGTCTGTTAAGCTCTTTTGTCGATCATGGGCCGCCTTCAGGTTAAACTTAATTACCTGAACATTTTGAGTAGTCTCGTCCACAATCTCAAGGCCCACTAAAACTCTTTTGCCAACCTCTGACCAACATAAAGGTGTACGATAAGATTTCCCGTAAAGTGCCTCAAAAAGTGCCATACCAATACTTGAATGGTAACTGTTGTTGTAGGCGAATTCCATCAAATCTAAACAATCATGCCAACCATCGCCAAACTGCATCGTTAAAGATCTCAGCGTATCTTCTAATGTCTGAATGGTCCTCTGAGATTGCCCATCTGTCTGGGGATGATATGACGTACTATAAAGGAATCTCATACCAAGAACTTCCTGAAATGCTACCCAGAACTTGGAAGTAAATCTATGGTCCTAATCCGAGATAATATTAACTAGAATGCCATGGTACTTCACAATCTTCGATATGAACAACTTAGCTAATCGGCTTAACAAATATTTTTCCCTCACTAGAATAAAATGTGCTGACTTAGTAAGCCGATCAACTACCACCCAAATGTCGTCATATCCATTTTGTGTACAAGGAAGCTTGTACAAAAAATCCATAGTAATATTTTCCGACTTCCACTGTGGAATGGGAAGCAGCTGCATCAACCCAAACGGCTTCTTCCTTTCAACTTTAACTTGTTGGCAAATGGCACATCTAGTCACATATTCAGCAATTTCCCTTTTCATACCCGGCCAATAATAAAATGGTCGAATGGTATGATAAATCTTGGTGCCTCCTGGATGCATCGCATATGCCGAAATATGTGCATTATTCAACACATACATTCTGCTTTCCTACATAAGCATACCATCAGTTTCTCGAATCCTGAAATCTTTCTTCTTCCCTTGATTCCTTGCTTGAATTATTTCCTGGGTCTCTTCCTCATTCATATGGGCCTCGAGCACACGATCAATTAAAATTGGCCTAACTTGAAAATTAGCAAGCAAGGCTTCCCTTCGATCTTCCACTCCTAACTCCACTCCAGTGGACCTCAAATCCGCAAGAAGAGGAACATGACAATCATAGATGGCATTAAGTCTAGCTGGAGTCTTCCTACTAAGTGCATCCACCACTAAATTTGCACGATCAGGATGATACTCAATCGTGCAATCATATGCACTAAGTAGCTTAATCCACCTCCGCTACCGAAGATTAAGATCTCTCTGAGTAAAAAGATACTGAAGATTCTTATGATCTGTGAAGATCTTACATTTCTCACCATAAAGATAATGTCTCCAAATCTTCAAAGCAAAGATGATAGCCGCTAACTCCAAATCATGAGTAGGGTAATTCTTCTAATGAGGTTTCAACTGTCTCGAAGCATAAGCAATCACCCTACCATGTTGCATTAATACACAACCCAAACCATTCAAAGAAGCATCACTATATACTTCAAAATTACCATTATCATCTTGGAGTGCTAGAACAGGTGCATGAGTGAGATAATACTTCAACTACTGAAAACTTTGCTCACAATTATCATCCCACTCAAACTTAACATCCTTCCGGGTCAACCTCATCAATGGCAATGCAATCACTGAAAAATCCTTAACGAACCATCTATAATAGCCTGCTAGGCCAAGAAAACTCCGTACCTCGGTGACGATTCGAGGTTGCTCCCAATTCTCCACAGCTACCACTTTTTTGAGAATCCACTTGAATGCCTTGAGCATAAATGACATGTCCCAAAAATGCCACTTGATTCAACCAAAATTGACATTTGCTAAACTTAGCATATAACTGGTGTTCCCTCAAACTTTTCAACACCAATTTAAGATGTCTAGCATGTTCAACCTTAGACTTAAAGTATACAAGAATATCGTCAATGAAGACAATAACAAACTTGTCCAAATATGGCTAGAATACTAGATTCATGAAATCCATAAAAGCTGCTAGTGCATCAGTTAACCCGAATGGCATCACAAGAAACTCATAATGACCATATCGAGTCCTGAATGCAGTTTTAGGGACATCTTCGTTCTTAATCTTCAATTGATAGTAACCCGACCTCAAATCAATCTTAGAAAATACGCAGGCACCTCGGAGTTGATCAAACAAATAATCTATATGGGGTAACGAATAACGGTTCTTAATGGTTACCTAATTCAATTGCCTGTAATCAATGCACAACCTCAAGTTTTTAACTTTCTTCCTCACAAATAAAACTGGAGCTCCCCAAGGTGATGTACTAGGCTAAATAAAACCTTTATCTACTAATTCTTGCAATTGAACTTTCAATTCCCTCAATTCAGCAGGAACCATTCTATAAGGAGTCAAAGATATAGGATTCGTACCTGGAAGCAGATCAATAACAAACTCCACATCTCTATCTAGCAACAATCCAGGCAAATCCTCAGGGAATACATCTGGAAAATCCCTAACCACACGCACATCCTCCACGCTACTAGAGCATCATCATTCAGCACCACATGAGCCAAATATCACTGACAACCTTTCGACAACAATCTTTTGGCTTTCATGGCAGAAATAACACCATGCCTCACCCCGCTAGGCTCTCTTACAAATGTAACTTCAGGTAATCCAGGACGATGAAAAGTGACTGACTTTCCATAACAATCTATCTTGGCACGATTATAGTGCAACCAATCAGTGCTCAAAATCACATCAAAATCCATAATATCCAACGGCATAAGATTAGCCGGCATAACAACATCATCCACCATCACTAGACATCCTGGATATACTCGATCCATAAAACATCTATCTCGTCTAGGCATAGAAAACTCTAAATCAAATCCTAGAGGTGTAGGATGGGGTTGCGTCATTTGAGCAAATGTATGAGAGATAACGGAATGTGTAGCACCACAATCAATCAATACTCTAGCAAAATGACCAAGAATATTTAACGTACCCATGATTAAATCATGATTGTTCTGAGCATCTTGCAGTTGTTGGAAATATGCCCTGAAAGTGAATCTTTGGAAGAAACCTTTTAGGACAAATGAATCGATGTATGGATGACTCTTATACATCAAATGGCAAAGACACGAATTAGGACTATCTCAATAAACGATATATGTCCTAAATAGTGTATCCATGGACAATGGATCGATTGAAGAAGTAATCTAATGATGTTAGACTACAGAGACCTTCTTCACATAACCATTGTGTCCAAAAGGTTCCTAGTCATTGGATTGTCGGAGGGAAACTGACAATGCTTAGACCGGTACATACTGTGTCCGCTTCAAATGGAAGGATGGAAAGTCTCATCCCATTCGTGTTGTGACACTAAGACAAGTATGTAGGTACTCATTAAGAGAATGAGTTCACTGAACGCAATCGAACGAGAGTACTTGCATGGAGGTCTACTCACATGTCAAGCAAGTAACTCTAATGGTTAGAATAATGTAAGTAGTCCTTTGACCTGAGGCATCGTCGTTGTCTTGTGGCTAAGTACTTAATCTTTGATTGTGTCAAAGTCACCCCATTGGCGGATGTCCACGGCATAATTGGGGTTAAGCCACTTAGTCATGAAGGCAAGTGAATGCGCAACAAGGAATCTCTAATCCTCGATTAGAGAGGAAGAATACTCTAAGATATGATTCGGGAATCTTCGGCCGAAGTATCGAGCGTAATAAAGGAAAGCGTTCCTATACGACTCAATTGAATCATTTAAGAAGGAATAATCACATTAGGGGTTTGACATAATATATCCATACCCTAGTAATGTGATTGAGAGTATTGTTTTAGAGAAGGATCGAATTACATTGTAATTCCAACTGAATAGGTTCTCCGAACAACTTCTACATTAGCTTGGGTAGCTATGACATATGGTTAGATGTCACTCATAGCTTGTGAGTTCTTCTAGATGATTAAATGTAGTCATCAATGAAGAAAGGTGAATTAAAATGAAGTTTTAATTCACTAAGTGATTGGATTAAATATAATCAAATGAATTGATGTCAATCACCTCACTGCCTTGCTAATTAGAACCTAAAATGATTGTGCACCGATACACTCTTGTAGTGAGTAATTAATGGATGAAGGAAATAATTAATTGGATTAATTAAGTGTTGTGATTAATTTAGAAAGTCTAAAGAAATCATGAAAGCGATAAAAGATCGTTTTGGGCTTAAAGAAACGTTCGGGTTTAATTGGGCCCATTG